TTTAGTATTTTTCCCTTTAACCTCGGTTTCCCTTTCTTAGCCGGAGCTCACCCTGTGGCCACCGTGGCAGCAGGTGGGGCTTACGTACGACGTGCTCCGAAGATGCTAGCAGTTAAGGAGGGAGCCCGTGGTTCGGAAGCAAGGCTGCTGCAGGTGCTTGTCGTTGTTGCCGACTATGGGAACTGAACGTGTGCTGTTTCTACAGGGCCAGCCAGGGCCAGTGGGCCCCCAGGGATACAACGGGCCCCCTGGCTTGCAAGGATTCCCAGGACTGCAGGGCCGCAAAGGTGACAAGGGCGAAAGGGGGGCTCCCGGCATCACAGGACCAAAGGGAGACGTGGTACGTATGGGAGCCGTGGCTGCTTCTCTCGTTGTATGAAGGGCGGGGCGCCTCGCCCTCATTCAGTTTGTTTGCCTTCTTCATAGGGAGCAAGAGGCGTTTCTGGATTCCCTGGTGCCGACGGAATTCCCGTAAGTTTTTCGTTAAGATAAGAATTTTAAAACATTGGCGGAAAAAAATTGTGCACAGGCGAAGCCATGCGCTTCTGATGTGCAGAAACGTGTCTAGCTGGACATGTCGTGTCATGGGCTCTGGGTGCATGTTTTTTCCTCCTGGAATCCAGTCAAGTACTGGACAGATCGTTTCTTTTTTAAACGTTCCTCTGGACTTGGCTTCAGAGCTGAGGCCGCTTCGCCACGACTGGACGTTGCTTTGTATCAAAGAGCTGCCGCGCCGCTCGGGCGTGCTCTACAAACAGCCTTAAAATCTTAAAATCTGGCTCGACCCCCAGAGCCACCTGACGTCTTGGTCCAGCCGGGAGCCTGGACGCCTTGGCGCTGGTGTGGCGCCTGTCTTCATCGTGGCCACACATAAATGAGAAGACAGAGACATGCTCGGTCCATGAGAAAATCTCAGGATGCAATAAAATGTGTTTTTCTAACCTAGTTTACTTTACTTCTTGTGGCAGAAGAAAATAAACAGGGCAGCTGACTCACAGCCTCCTTCACGGGGTCCTTGAGATTTCCCAGGGCCCCCTCCAGGCCCCCGCCTCCGGCATGAATGTGTTTATCGCACATTCAGACCCACCCCACCCGCCTACCACTGAAGTTGGAGGCCATCTGCTTCAGGAACGTCAGACACAGACGGCTGTCTGGGCCCTTACCCGACACACGTGGTTTGTCGCGGGTCACACGCACGTGCGCACACGCACATCCTCACCCCCAGGTGGCAGGAGCGGGGCTGCCCCTGGCAGGAGAAGAGAGGACGGGCCGAGTGGACAGCAGCCCCGGGGAATTCGTGCTTTTTCTTCGGATCTCCAGCCCCACATTCAAGGAGACCTCTGCCCCAGAAGGAAGTAATCGGAGGCGAAGAAAGGAAGCCACACTTACCAAGACGTGAGGCCTACGTGGCTGGTGATCCTGAGTGTTGCCCAGCTGGGGGCTCAGTTACAACACACGGCTGTGAACACACATGGAAACAACTCTCACGTTAGTTAGCATCTTGGCAAATTGGCAGAGCTGAAGAATCCGCAGATCTCAAGGGTTAAACAAATAATGAAAGTATTTCCCTACCCACTGCCTCAAATGAAATCACCCATTTTTAAATTACTTTTTTGGACACTTGGGACCATTCCTCGGGGCTGTCTTCTGGAAGTCGAAGTGTGAGTTTTAAATGGAGTTGACCTCATGGAAAAACACTCTAACGAATCCTTGTCATAGTTGACTTCGTTTTTCCACTTCATCCACATTTAGTGTCAGGAGCAAATACTTCACAAATGAGGGAGGAAGTCGCCATCTGTCATCTGGAGACACGATCATGGTAAACAGATGCCTGGTGGTTTTCTACAGAATCTGAGTTCTGCTAAAGAAAATCCTTGAACTGCAGAAATCCAGTAGATCCTACACTGAATTAACTGAAACCCACCTGCCGCTCCTGAGACGTTAATGGAAGCAGAGGTTGAGGGACCGACGCAGGTTTAGCTGTTCA